AAACTACCATAACCCCACTGTATGTCATATTTGACCACTTAACAGTACTCATCTTACTATATCTCTGCCATTGTGTTTGTCTGTCTCTTTGACATTTGTGAATCACTCTTCTATTCCCCCTCCCTCTCGGCTTTTTCTCACTTTGATGTTCCTCCTCTCTGTGAAGTACGAAGTCAGCTAAAGTGCTAATGACAACTATCAAAACGCCTTCCATTTGAAATAAATAAATAAAATAGATAAGCTTAGTTAATTATACTTATTTAAAATGATTCCAGACCGTATCCTATGCTTACCTGTAATTTCTATGATAATTGGATTCAATCGATGGGTGCAGTGGACAAAAGAGGCCGTTTAAAGGTTTTGTTTAGACTAAAGAAATTAACAAATGTCTGATCTAGAGAGGTCCCAATCAATAAGACTAACATTTTGGACAAAATGGAATGCTTATTGAAAATTCATTTTTCGCTTAATTGTGGGTTGCTATTAACATGTCATTACACTTACATGTAATCAATTAAATAGCAAACTTTTTCCAGCTGATTATTGTGTTAACTATATTTTTCAGTTTATTGATTTATTTAATTAAATATAGATATATATATATTTTATTTTCCTTGGCATTTTAATACATTTTTATTAATTTATTCAATTTTTATTTACTTAATATTGGGAAAATTAAAATAAACCACCACCTTTTTAAAAGTTATTTCAAAATTACAAAACATTGTTTTAAATTAATCCAATAACTCCTCGTCATATTATATTTTTTCATGCACTCATTTAACACCAATTTTGTTCAAATCCATATAAGCGGAATATCAGACATCGGCCTCAAGAGATCTGTAAAATATTTCCTCATATGTGGGTTGACAACTTTGTTTCAATGCCTTCAAGCATTAGTAAAAGAATTTTGTTTGCTTAAATATGACAAATGATATAAATAAAATGTGGTTGTAAACATGTTGAGTACATTAAGTTTTAAAAGTATATTTGCATTTAATCTGATTTTTTGTGTGATGAAGGAGTATTGGGTTCAATGACGATTTCGTAGGAATATTCACAGTCAAGAAATAACAAATATAACGATTGGCTTAATATTTTCCAACTAAAGGAGAGTATCACTGAAGGGCATTTCGCCAAACATCCTCATTAATTTAAAGCAATCTACATAATTTTATCTGTCAAATTCTGGCTAATGCCACGTTTTCAGGCCGTGTCAATATCGAGAAATTATTTTTCAATGTGGAACTTCCTTCCATTTGTATTCAAAAAAATCACAATCGGCGTTCTTACAACAGCAGCAACTCTTATGAGTTTTAATCGCAGAATAGGATCTAGCCAATAGAAAAGCGAAAGGAGAAGTGTATAATTACATTATTATCATTAAATAGGACTGAAAGATCCCAAATATCATTCGACATGAAATAGGAAACTTTTGATTTGACAATATTTTCAATTCGGAGGGAGCTGACTTTGTGTTGGAGCACTAATCAGCCTCAATTTTAGTCTCGAATTCATAGTTGAAGTAAGGTTTGCTAAAAGCAGGGTTTATTGCAATTCAATTTATTTGAATCTCTACAAAGCTAGAAGTTGTCTGATGTTAAATTCAACAATATATTAGCATCTAGTAGAATAAATGCATAAAAACTGTCGAGTACCGAACATTTAAATAATTATTTAATGCCTTTTAAACAAAGGCGTGTGGGATACGTTATCGCTGTGTGCGTCATCGTATGTCTGCATGTCTGCTCACCAGGATTGGGAGGTGCTGCCGTACAACTTTGTGTGCGGCGACCGTTCAAATAGTGACCAACAAAGTAACCTCCTTGGGAGGTGCGACCGTACAAACAGTGACCAATCCTTAACATCTGTTTGTTTAACCTAACCCCATCCTGATCATGAGTAGCTCCCTGCGTGTACACTTGGTATCCTGATCATGAGTAGCTCCCTGCGTGTACACCTTATCCATCCTGATCATGAGTAGCTCCATGCGTGTACACTTGATCCTGATATACGTACTGAATAAACGTATTCCGTGCTACACGTCTGCTTCCCGTGCTACACGTCTGTTTCCTTTATAGGTGGGCTATAGCTTGGCTGGTTCTGAGAGTCTAGCTAGATGTTGGAGAATCTGCCATAGAGATTTCTGAGTCAGTCAGGATTTACTAAGGTAGCAATCCGCTACAGACGTTTCATTTTGTTCTATCTTAATTAAAGCTTTAAAAAAATAATTGTCAGTCTTTTCTTCAAAGAATTTCAATTACATCTAACTAATATTGATCACCTTAATTCAATTACCAACAATTGTTCAGATTATAAGAACACACGCGTTTGACAAAGAAATTGCCAAAATATATTAGCAGTCGAAACTTGAAACATCGATTTTCGTTATAAAGCGCTTAACTTAAAGCAAAAAATCGTTAGTAATTATCATATAATAATAAATATTACTTGATCTTTGTCAGCTACACAAATAATATTATTTTCGGAAAAAAATCATTTTTTTGCCTGGAGTTCTCGTGCATGCATAATGAAGGTTAGTAAAAATCAAAATTGCTCAAGTAATTCTTGGGAAATATATCAGTAATTAAAGTTTTCATTATATCGAAACTTAACGTCTTACTAATTTCAATTTCTTTCCTTAAATTTATTGAAGCCGTTTATGCCCCTGATTTACTAATCCAGTAGCCAATTTTACTTTTCTTACTTTTGAAAATAAAGTTTAAACTGTCCCGCCTTTGTGAAATGTATTTTTTCATTCCTTAACCGATTCCCTCAGTAAAAGGCCCTTTCCATTATAAATAATCTACTTAATGACCATATCCTCTTCCGATATTTCATGGAATTCAAAATAGACAGAGATTGGAATACCTAAGACCTTCTGTATTTCGTCATATATTTGTGATCAATATTAATTTGTAAAGTCTTGTTAAGTAAACTAGATGACAGCACATTATCGCAATACCGTAACGACCATTTTACTTACTGATAATTTTTTTAAGTGCAACTCATTAAAGACAAATAGAGTTGGACCTTGATCCGCAATATAGCAGGACTATTTTTTGCAAATCTTAATTATATCCTTGCGGGCAAACCATATTATGACACTTGGCGTTTTAGCAACAACAACCCTTAGATAATCAATTGTTCGACCACTTAAAAGTTAGGAACTGCGCATGGACTAAAACTCAGTGCATATATATATATATACACGAGGCCCGTAGCAAGTAGATAGCTGTATCTGCAATCATGTTCGCTTTCAACTCCATTCTATTCGCCTGTTTCTTCGCTCTAGTCAACTCTCAAAGTGGTAAGTTTATTGCTGAATTGCAAGGCCCACCATGTTGTTAATGAGTCATATCATTGATTGAAGTCGTTTCTTCAGCTAAAATTGATATATTAGAATTAGCATGTATTTCAAAGTTCAAATTATATGTTTGAATATATATATATATATCTACCGCTTTTTCCATAGACTGCAAAGGCTTTGGACAAAACTGTGATAGAACCGTGTTTAACCGTTGCTGTGGTGACCTGCAATGTGAATTGAGTAGTCCTTTTCACGGAGTGTGTACTTTCTGCTTGAGCCCGGGTCAAATGTGCCTACGTGACACCGACTGTTGCTCTGGCAACTGCCGTTGGTTTAAAGCTTGCGCTTGAATAACGCGACGTCCTCTTCACTCAGAAATTAATTCTTCCCCCACCCTCCGCCTCCCCCATTTGCCCTATAAATTTCAAATTCAATGCTGCGATTCTTTTTTTAATCAATATAAAATTGAATAATACTATGTAAATTTTCTCTATATATATATATATATATCTTGCCCATTCTTTGAAAATCGCTTATGTAATAAGGCAGTCTAATTATTGCAGAACTTGCACTTTAAGAAAAGTCATTTAAAAATGCACTAAAGTAGGAGGGGTAATTATGTGCGCAATTTAAATGAATCAGAAATCGCGCATTAGTAACTTCATTTTATTTTAAAGCCCTGTTTATGAAGTCAAAGCTACAAATGCAAGTTAGCATTAAAAAATTCTTAGTCATTTGAAAGAACTCCGCTTGGATCTATTGATGTAGAGCTGTAAGTATATAAGTTGGAATTTGGAGCGTTCATCACGCGGCGTCCAAACGTGATTTCTACCCCTCCTATCGTGCCTTTCGAGGGCTTGGTTCAACCAATACCTAACAGGAGTGTGCACATGGTGCATCCTGGGCAACACATACTCATACGGCAAAAAGTCTATTAACCGGCAGTTGACTTCTCACTTCAAATAACCATCATTCCATTGTATGCCATATTCGATTACTTCCACAGTACTCACCTCACCTTTTTCACTCTACCTTTGTGTCTGTCTCCACTACATCTTCGAAACACTCTTCTGTTCCCCCCCCCCCACACACTCTCGACTTTTTCCACTTTGGTATTCCTTCCCCTCTGTAAGGCCTGAAGTGAACTAAATGGCTAATGGTAACTATCAAAACGCCTGTCATTTGATATAAATAACTAATGCCTAACATAAGCCACTTTTTAGG